TGAAAGACCAGGCTGGGGCAACAGCTACTCCTCCACGATCCGGAGCGAGAATGGGAATGCCTGCATCACGCCCCAGCCTCCCCCATGGCACACGATGCACGTGTGGAAGAAGCATCACGTAAGAAAGCACCACTGAAGACGGACGCTTGGGGCACCCTTCATTCAACCACCCGACCCCTTGACGGAGGCGCAGCTCCCTGCAGTTAGCACTTAGCCCTTGAGCTGCAGAAGGTAACCGACCCGCTGCCAAAGGCTCCAGAACTGAACGACTCCACTTGATGCCCCTTTTAAAACCAGGGCTGCACTTTCCTCCCCATAAGTGCTGTGTCCCAGATCTTGAGAGCATCCCTCGTGCTCGTTGTGTAACTCTTAGCGCGCCACCACCAACCCTCAAAACCTGCTGGAGGAGGAAAGACATTCAGGGGAGTAATTTCCATCACCCAGTTCCTTCAGCAGCAAGCCCCAAGGTAGGAGCAGTCTATTGGCATTCTCTAATTATGCTAACTACCCATAAACCGTGAAGGCAGGGAGGCTCTGCCTACCAGAGAGAGCACGGCACACCACGGAGATGCCGGAGCCACCACCAAAGGCAGTAGCTAGACCCAGTACCAGAATCGCTATCATTAGCATAGTACTCCACCTAAGTTAATCTATGCTATTTCACTGGAAGGCTAATTAGCCAAAAACTGCTCTTCTAAGGTAGACTGCTTCCCACAGAAGACAGTTCACTAGAGCTCGCTTGGGTACCACTGCTGAGCACCGCTCTGTGCCACGCAGGCACGGCCCCCGTGCCCGTCTATGGCTTTGGGCTCTTGTGGATTCAAGTCTCTCCTGGCTTGTTGGCATCCGTATTTTTCCAGCAAAGCAAAGCTATTGTACAGCGTTAGGAACACAGAGGAAGGGGGAGCCTCTTAGTTATCTGAACAGGGGTCTGAAGTTCAGCCCTGCAAGCCTGGTCCAAGTGAGGCAATTTTTTTTTTTTTATTCTTCCCCCGAACAGGCTCCCCCACACGTGACAGTCACATTTCTGTACAAGATGTACCGTCAGCATCTTTTAAAAACTTCTGCTTTAGTCAGGAACTCCCTTGACTGGCTCTAAAGTACTCTCTAAATTGGCAAATTCTGCCTCTCCTACACTATAACTAAAATAATATAAAATCAAATGGTTGAAAATGTCCTGTTAACTGTACTAACTTATAAAAGCAAAGGAAGAAACAACAGTCTAAAATCCTTAATTCTACTTCAAAATGTGTAATGCAGATAGTACAAGACGCTCGCTAAGAAGTTCCACTTAAAAGAAGCTATTTTTATTTTCTGCTGTAATCCGCATCCTCTCATGTTTCTTTTATATTATTCCACCTTAGTCCAACGTGCATTTTGAGCTCTTAGGAACATTACTTCATTCTTGCTTATAAAATCATCTTCCTTTTCTACCACGTGGTGATAATAATAAAGACATACACAGGAATAGTATTAATAACCAAAATCTCTATTCCAATTTTCAGTGAAATGAATTCCAAGGAGTACCTAACCTGACCCCGCTTCGCTGACTGTCACAGCCAGTATGGACGCAGATGGACTGAGAGAATTTGTACACAGCACCAACAAGGCCCTGCAGAGGTCTTCCCGCTGGCACGCGGAGGCGCGAGTACCAAAGACAACATCAGTAGAAAGGGGACTCTTTTCCTGGGCCATAGCTTTCCAGCGCAAAAGTGGAAATAGAGCTTATCAAAATAGACTCTTGATTGTACAGAGAAAAAAATAGTTTAGGATTTTGTTTACATTAATATAGAAAATAAATTTAAATTCAGCCAATGACCATGTAAGTGTATTTAATTCACTGTCTTGTAAAAGCCCAGTCTGATAAGCAGCACATAGATCAGCTGCCGGTCTCCATCCTTGAAGTGACAGCCTCAACTTGGGAGTTTTGTCTCCAAGCCTAGGTGTACTCTGATATGTATTTCCACCCAATATACTTCATCAGAACACATGAAGAGGAGAATTCCAAATGAGGAAATGACAGAGGGTGAGTATATACGGAGTAGCTGTGGCACCACGGGACGCAATATGGAAGCTAGTTGTTGTCAGAACCAGAAAACAGGAGGATTAGGTCAGTAAACTTCTTGTTCTGCTAAATCCTCAAATCCTTTCATTTCTTCACATTGTCAGATAAGGACCACAGGCTGGTTGTTTGCTCTGGGAACACCAATTGTGCCCTTACAACAAGTATTCATTAAAAAGAAGAATCTCAATAAAAAAGCATCGCTAACTTCCTCTGAAAGGCAGAAAAGCAATGATAAGATGTCCATTTGAAATATTTAAAAACACATTACACATACGTGTTAACAGTACCTCTAAAAGTAGTCACAAGTATTTCCTAGGGTATCCTTCATCATTATACCTTCACTCTCAAATCATTATTTACCATGCTGCTTGTGCTAGCTTGTGTACCCACCACCTACAGTAATTACATTAAAAGGTAGATACGTCACAGGATTAACTCATGTGACATGCTCCTTTATTACACTCGTTTGGATCAAGGGTCAGCTCTATTTTATTTTGCCCTACAATTGCAATATTAATCTAAAATAATCTGAAAAAGATGACCATCACACGCATGAGGCTCATTTCTTAGATCACCCCTCTCCTAAATCCAAACGAAGATTACGTTTAAGACACAAACACACCCTAAGACGTTCGCACGCAAAATAAAAGAGGTCAAAGGGAAAAAAAAAAAATCACCCTGGTTATTTTGCCTTCAGAATTTTTAAATATTTTCCCAACATCTCAGCAAAATTATGCATTTTAAAAAGACTGCAGGCACTGAAATGATTGTCAGTCATGCAAATAATCACTTACTTACACTGTATGAGTTTGGTTTGGATAAAGCAAATTACCATTTGAAAATAACTTGAAAAACACTCTGGGCTAAGAGCTTGCTTCATAAATTTTAGCTCGGCCACAATTTTTCTTAACCTTTTTCTCCTCAATCTCCATTCAGTCACTACACTAATACAGTCCAGATCAAAAAAAACAGCGTTCAACTGCCACAGGTGCATTCAACATTATTTAAAACGTGGTCTTGTGAAGAAATAGTAAATATTGGCTGCAGCTGACGGTCAAAACCCAAAGAACCTCAGTTATACAGAAGCAGTCCTTTCTTCTGCTTCTTTTCCTGTGATGATATGGGGCTCTGTCTAAAAAAACCCAGATCTTACATCTAGAATTAGCTGCTGAATAAAATATATATTAGAAACAATAGGGGTGATATTAATCTGTGTTTCTAATTACTCTGCCGAGAAAGTTTTACAGCCACACGGTTGTTTACGACCACCTTAGTTTTGTCCACCGCTGCCGAAAATACCTTTTTGACATAATTTCAAGTGCAACAACCACAATAAAAACGTGAAAGGTGTCCTGCTTTGTGAGATGAGATTTAGTACAAGAGGAGGACATTAAGAAGAGCACACAGTAAGACGTGAGATCTTCCTACGTTACCAGCTTCGGTAGTAGTCTAGTGATTTTACCCACCTAATCACCTTCTGCTTTGGACAAGTGTATGACTTCAGACTTATTTGTCAGGTCTCGTTTGGCCCCATCTGCCAGGGCTGACAAACCCAAAAGAGCTGATTTAATAGATGAGACAGGGTTATCACAACTTCATCTCCAGAACTACGCTTGGCTTCCTAACGTACGCCAAAATCACGAGACCCTTTTAAAACGGCTCAATATCAAGTATGCTGAGCATCCGCAGCATTCCCTCGCTCTTGAAAAACACGGTCTCTTGAGATGCAACAGTAGGTCCTCAAAGCTATACAGGTACTGATCTCCACTGCCATCCAGGCAGCCAAATCCCCAAGGAACACTGGAGGATTTTAACCCACTTGCCAAAGACATAGGTTTAAAGACTTAACTTTAGACACGGATTTTTAAATGATGTGCACCAGTGCTTTAAAATGCAAAAGTTTTCCAGCTTACTGAAATGTAAACCTTGCGCTGTGAACATCAATAGAGGGCACGACCTCAGCTCCTGTACCAAAAACCTCCCTACTCCAGACTACCACAAACACGTATTTAGTCTTTGAAATAACTGTATGTACAAACTGGGCAGGGACAAAGATCTCAAGTGTGGCCAGAACTTATTATTAGACCAAAAACTGGACTCTTGCAGAGTCATTACAGTGCTTTCCATCCTTATTTCAGCAAAAAAATGTACCCTGCGTCGTGCTGGTTTTATATAATCAAATTGCAGAATCATACTCTATTTAGTGCCGGTCCCACTGAAGCAAAGTTCCTGTTCGGTGGGAGAAAAGTCCCTTATAAGAGGAAAAACAATTGTGCCAGGTTTAATCAAAAGTGAAGAGGATCCAGCGAATGTTCCCTTTGAGCCACATAACCCACCGCTAATTTCAAGACGGGCTCTGAAACGAGGGTAATAAAAAACGTCCTTCAGAGTAACCGAGAAGACTGAAGAGCAACTATTGCTGCAGCTAATGCCAACATCTGCAAGTCTGCTCCCTGCTACTGGGATGCTTTTCGCCTACCTGGAAAGCAATAAAAGAAGAGGTAGGGGAGGGAGGAGGGAATAAAACCCCACCGCAGCACACCGAGGGAAATACAGCTTCCCGACTACAGGCTTATCGCTTTTACTGTTCTCTAGCATTTCTTTCTCCTCCTTGACCTCCCCTGTACAAATATATACAGAGCTGAGGAGCAGGCAACTCCTTAAAGACACAAACAAGTGGGAAATCACTAAAACAAGTGGGAAATCGCTCATCCTGAACGATGCAAGTTTGTACGACACGCGCTAAGGGCAGGCGCGGCAGATCAGGCGCTGCCTGAATAGCCTCTGATTATTGGAACACATTTATCAATTAGGGGAGTTTGCATCTTATCAAACTCTTTCATTAACAATGCTTTAGCTGATTAGTTAGAACGTCACCATAAATAGAGAGTTTTGACAGGCTGGAGGCAATTTATGACGTGGAAAATGTACTGACCTGCTCACATCAGGAAACCTGACTGGAAAATAAAGAACTTGGCACTTCGGTCTGATTATTTTTTCCAAATCCTTAGGTCTGTGGTCAGGAACCAGCTTCATAAATTTTCCAATGGACGTAAGAAACGATTCCATATTAAAAGCAGAGTTGAACACCACAACATCAGCAACCAAACTGTAAAAAGTTGTTAAGATTAATGAACGTACTGCTGCCGCAAAAGGAACAGAAGTATTTTACGTGCAGTGGAAACAGGACACACATTCTCATAAACAAACAAAAGGTGCAAGTGGAATGTTAATTAAAGTCAGCCTATTCACATGAATTAGGAGGAGCCTACGTATCTTAATCAGAAATGTCTTGATTTCTGTCTCCTCACTCTTTGAAATATTTTTTAGCCTTTTTTTAAAGTAATAAATTACTCTTGTTACTCTAAAGGAGTGCATCCTATTCTATCCTGTGGATTACTTTTCGTTCATAAAGGGGTAAGAACAGTTTTAATGTCATTATCTCTTAAAAGCATTCTAAACAGATAAGGCCCACTACAATATGACTTTTGCAGAAGTAAGCTTGGAAGAAAATGAAAATTCCTTAGAAATAATCCTTTGTACTGGAGGACAACTTACCTGTGGTTAACCTGGCTTCAACTGACTACGTGCGTCAGGTAGCAGGATGCTAGAGAAAAGGAGTGGTATTTTAACCTATCCATATATAATCCTCATTAAAAGTATATTCACCAAAAATAAACTAAATATATAAAATACACAGCACATAGTACTAAAAAAAAGTTTGAAAAAATTTGGCGTATTAATGCAATGTTTTGTTCTTTACTGCTGTTTTTTAAAATCAACCCGATCAATAATTTTAAGAAGCAGTTAAATGACAACGTAGGTATTATTTCTCCACTTCAGAGTCAGCCTGGAGAAAATAGGAAGCTATCAAAGAACCTGAAATACCTGGAAGTTTATCCTGGAAGTGCTGACACACTCTTAGCTACACTGGCAAACACGCGATGCTAACGGAGGTAGGAAATGCTTTATGGCCGGTTGGTTTTCTCAATATGTTATATATTGTAATACAGACCTCTGGGTCGTAAGATACATTGAGGACACGTGTTCATCAGTCACCGGGCCGGTGAAAAGTATATTTGAGGTGAGAGGCTGTCATTCATCCTCTGCATCTCACTGCTGCCCGGTCAAGAAAGGGAACTGACACTGCTCACCGAAGCAGCAGGAGTCATTGGAAAAGCAAAAAAATACTCAACATTAGAGAAGGAAATAATCCTTTTCAAGCAGGCTGTGGGAACTGAAATGCCTTCTGGAATCCCACCCTCTCCCCCACCTACGGTTTTTAACCCGTTGGTCTCCTCATCTTTGTGCACACGATCCTCTTTTCTGCACTGATTTACTGATGACACGAGATGACGCAGGAACCCGGCACGTTTCTTGGCTGCTCCCCGACCCGTAGCAAAGGCTCCAACACTGTCATCTCTGCTTCTCCTGTGCGTGAGGTCTTATCTGACCAACTTTTTCCTAGACGTTCTGCGTATCACTGGCAAATTAAAAAGATCCCGTCGCCATCGCTGCGTGAGCAGCTAAAAGGAATCTCAGCCGTCATCGGAAAGTGTGATTTTATGACATTAACTCTCTAGAAACATCTGGGAGAAAAAAAAATAATTCTCTTTCTTAATGATCCAACCTGAAGATTCAAAGTGCCCTAATTTCAATTGTCTGCAAAACCTCTATGCAAAACTGGAAAGATACATTTTCCCATTTCTAACAGATCTGGAAGACGGGAAGGTGGCATTTCTTCGCAGATGACCACTAGGACATCATGAACAGTACCAAGAAAATGGCTTCCATATGCTGTTAAAAATGGGGGTTCTGCAGCACCAGAAATATTCTATAATTACATGGAGAAGCCATTGGAGGCTGAAAGAGACAGAATGAAGCATCTATAGAAGTTGTCCTTTTTTTTTCCTAATAAAGGAAGATAAAGTTATTATCTCAAAAAATGCGTATTTTGAGGAAGTTTGTCAGCTTACAATAGATGTGTGAAAAACAACCGCCATAACAAAGCAAAATACACACATCCAAAAAAATATTCCTTGCCCCAGCAACATCGTTTGGTTATAACACCTGCAAATGGCGGCTGCTCTTTTCAAAAGATCTTTCACTACACTTTCCCATCTCTACTGCTCAGCAAGCGAAATGTGTTGCAAATGCTGTGGCAGAAGCAGCTACAGAAGGGCCAGAGTATACGCAGATCATTATTTGAGAAATCTCAGTATCAACTGGCTTATAAAGATGCAAAAGCTTGACTTATATTTTAAAATGCTCAGTCCTTATTCCTAATAATTCTCCTACTAACAGAGAGGTGAGAAAGATCATGGGAATGACGTTTTTGGGTTCAAAAACAACTGAGTTTTGCTGTTTCACTTAGGCCTGTACAGTGCCTAACCACAAAGCTCTTCAGTGTGGCTGTTATTAACTTCTTTCATTAACTCAGATTCGAGAAATACATTTGTTTTTAGCAACAATAAAGGACCGCAGCCTTTAAAACGTCCAGGTATTTTAGCACTGCCCAATTTCTGAATACTAGATGAAAGAAATATAAGGATTTATCTGGTATGTTTACTGCCCTCTCTTCACAAGAGAAGTGCTGCAGTACATTTTAATTTCTGTTTATTTCCCTAAAACCCTCTATATAATTTCAGTTGGATGCAGTAAAAGCTATGGCCAAGCAAGAGCTGATTAGCTGCAGCTTTGCGAAGCACCCGTGAAACAAAGCACCTCGCTTACAGCCAAGGCACGGGTCAAAATCCCCACATGGCATCGGGGGACTTTATGCAATAAATTTAAGGTGAGTTTATAAAGCAGCTTGTTCCTGCCCCAACACTTTTATCAATCTTTCTTCAGGACTCTGCTGGTACCTCGGTTTGCTACGGGGTCATCATTCATCCGGAGGGGGACTCCTCAGGCTGCAAGGTTGTAGACAGAAGGACACCTTAAACACCACGGAGCCGCGCGAGAAACACCTACCATGAAAGAATCTGGTTGTATCCATACTGAAAATCCCTTTCCTGGCATTTCTGGACAGGATATGCCAATTGGTTCTCATGGAAGTAGAGGACCTTTTTCAATTTGCCAAGGTCAGGGCGGAGGGCAGCGAGTTCAGCCAGGTTAAGCACCGAGCTTGCAAAGAGGACCCTGGAAAACAAGGAGAGCAGTGTTTACCGGCTGCGAGCAGGCTCGCAGGGGTCCCCCCTCCCCCTTCTCCTCGCCCCCCCCCCCGCCCCTCAAGAAAAACATAACCCCTATAGGGACACATCAATAGCTAAGCCTTAATACCATGTAGCAGCATTCGAAGTTTTGATCTCTTAAAAAGCAGCTGCTAAGAACCCAACTAGAAAAGCCCCGAATCTCATTGGTCTTCCCAGCTCGGTTACAGAGAGATGCAAAATGAAAAAAAAAAAGCTGGATGGATTTTATTGAAAAAGGCAAGAAAAGCTGTATCTGAAGGACAAATGGAACAAAGATAAGGCTGACTAGGGAATACTTTGCTTGCCAGTTTCATTACACTTTACTTCTTTATGCAACCGACTACTGAAATTCAATATATGAGCAGGAATCGCACATGTTCATGTTATGACATAAACCCTTTTGATTTATGCAGTGCACTTATCTAGTATGGTCTGGTTTTCTTTTATTTTTCCCCCCCACCCTTTCCTTGTTTTATTTTCACATTTTTATTAGGTATCCTCTATAATGAAATGTTGTTTCTACCCTTGCACCCCAGTATTGCCGTGGCACTCCTGCTACTCCACAGTCTAAAACACTGCATCCTTCACTTGTATGAGTGCTGCTGCTATCTTAGCCTCTGGTAACTTACCAGGCTATCAAAAAAATGAATGTATTTAAATGTGCATACTACATGTATCCCACTATATATACACTGCTGTAACCAGTGGCAGACTTCCCTGCCTTTCACCAAAAGCATCTCCTGCTCCCTGGCTAGCGCCGCTTTCAAGCAAACTGAATCCTGAACCTGCAGAGAACTGCGGAGCCATAGCCATTGGTGTTATACTCTTCTCATCACAAGGGATAAAAAAAATAATAATTGAGATCAGGTATTTATTGCACATAGAACATAAAGCCTTAATAAACTGCTTGTCCACATAGCACGTTTCTGACCTTTTTTTTTTTTTTTTGCTATCCACTATTTCAGTGGTTCAGATTCAGAATTGATTTATGCAATGTTTAATTCTTCCAAAATCTTCCCTATTTTTTCTACTTTTTTCCTATTCTTCCTATTCTATATTATTCCCATTCTTCCTATTTTTATGTGGATGTTGTCTTCAAGATTACTGCCAAACTGACATCACTTGTACTAAAAACTTCCGATTCTGGCCATCAACCTTAAAACTCAGGAACTTCCCCAAATAGCCATATATATATCTCATAGTATCACCTATGCTAACACACACTGTTCTTAGATAATCTGTATCTACAGAACAAACACCTCCTAGAGAACAGATCCTGTATCCATCTTCATCAACCTGAGTCAATGCTAATCTGAAAGGCTTACGAAAGTAAGAGATGAATGTTATTGCCTTGTTCATCAAATATTTGATCGTTCTAAAGGGACTGTCAAACAAAACACCAATTAAGATACGAGCTCAGGTTTATTATGAGCCATACCAAGAGGAAAAACTAGTTTTACGTAAGTCATCACTTATTTGTCATAAAGAGTAATAACCCCTGGACCTGTTAACGACCTGGGTGCCAGACTCAGAGCAGAGGCAGGAAAGCTTCCTACGGGCAATGCAATACCCCTGCGAGTTTAGCGCTAGAGTGACAAAGAAAAATACAAGCAGGAGAAAACATACTCCCAAATACTACAAAAATGAAATTAAACGGTTGCTTGGCAAAATTTTGGCTATTTCTGGACCGCATTATAGTTTATCCTTTCCTTTAGTGATTTCTCAGAAAATCTCTCTTTGCAATGAGTTGGGGAGAAAACTGCATTGGTAAAGGATAGCTAGTGTCTATTCAGTTGGCTGCACTTGAAGGAAGAGAGGAAAAAAAAGAGATGGCCCATTGGGACTGACAACATGGGAAGCAGCGCAGAGCAAGGCACAGAAGCAAGAGGGGAAAGAGCAGACAGTGGGGTGCCGAGGTTAACGTGACGACTGGAGAGAAAAGGGTAACAGGGAGCACCATGAGAAATGAGATCCAAGAGTTAACCTTGGACAAAACCATGTAGCTTTGAAATACCCAAACTCACTCAGATGGACAATGGAGCAACTAGGAGAAGAGTATGAAAACAAGGTGGTTATATCCACGGGAAAGGAAAATGCTGTTCACGGTACCGGCTTAGACAAACCGGAGGAACACAATGGAGTTGGAGGCTGGCTTTGAGTAAGGCAAGAAGGGCTGAAAACCTGGACAGCTTGGAAGAGGCAGACCCAAATTTTCTCCACCCTAAATGGGAAGTGATAAGACTCAATTAACAAGCAGATCGCTTATCACCGCCCCGCTCATCAATAAACCGGTGTCAAGAGACAAGCACTGCGATGACTAGCAAATTCAGCCTGAAGTGACACTGCTTACGTTTCTTACAGCAAGAAAAAAAAGAAATCAAAATAAAACCATTTAAATGGTAATATTGTTAGCAAACACCCTTCCTGATTCTCTTGCATGACTTCACAGCATTTCTAGAATTTAACCCAACAAACAGAAGATGCTCTTGTTTCTTTACTGGCATAAAAGCTGCTAACTACCAGCGATAACCAATTTCTCCGGCATTATAAGCTTAAATAACACCTGACAGCACGAGTCCCCGCGAACATGCCCACAGAGCAGCCGCGTACGTGGCTAATGGACTCACGCAGGGCACTGGAGGATATGCTGGAGTGTATTTCCACTTAACACCTATTACAAGGGGAAGAAAGGAAAGTTTATTATAATGTAACATGCGACATAAATATATGTCACTTGTCATTCCGTGTGACATCAACTTTCATTTTACCTCGGGTTATTATTTAAGTAATAAATCCTAACAAGGTGAGCTTTATCATCCCACGGAGTGTATCTGGGAGGTAGAGACACAAGGTGATGGCAAGAACGCTCGAAACATGATAATTCCTGACAGCTGCTGCTTGAGCACAAGTTAAATTGAACAGTTTATCTCAGCATAAAGATGTTATAAGGTTTTATGTTTAATTTAAAAAAATTAACATAAAACCCAGAGAAAGCAGAGTTAGGCAATCTTTCACAAACATGACATACTACAATCACTGTATAAGCTGGATTAGTACTTATTACCATGCTACTAGAGAATTAAGCTGTTTTTAGACCACCAAAGAGCTTTAAATTGCAACTTTTGTCTCTGTAAGAGAAACCTATATTTAAAACGTCTGCTAAATTCAAATTAACAGCTACATCATTAACTTACCATCTCACAAAATCCCCCACATTTCAACTGCTATTATGGTGTTCTTATCTAGACCTATCAACGCTACAACTTTTAATATATACAGTTGTCTTCAACAAATATATTGTGCGAATCCTCACAAAACCTGCATTGAAGGTCACAGTTCTAGCGCGCCTGCCCTAGCTCTCCTCTCCGAAATACCCCCAAAGTATTTTATTGTGTCACAAATGACCTTCTTCCATGGAGCAGGACCACCACACGTGCAGCAGCCCACGGCCTTGGAGTCTGGCCAAATTTCAGGGCCACCATCCACACAAGCGCTGGTCTTACACTAAGCTTGTGCTTCAGTCTGAATCACTTAATAGTCCTGACTTCTGAGGAACCACTCGTGTGAATTAAGCTAAGCCGGTGCTTAACTCACACAAATACTCACGGGAAGGAGGCTGAGCGTGCTTGCAGGTTCAGAGCCGTCATGCGTCCAGAGAACGCTCTGACCTTTGCTATTGTCTTCCCCGTTATTTTACACCAAAACCAGTAAAACATAGAAACCTCTTCTTGTTTTTAATTACCAGCAGACAAAATGTCTAATACAGGTTTCCATTTATGCCAAGCAAGTTATAAAAGTAAAGGTGCTAAAGTATTTTTATTTTGCTTTATAAATCTTCTTTGCGTCACGTAACTATGATTTACCCTCTCATGGCGTTGCCCTAAATCTTTCAATTAAATTCTCATGCAACTTAACTAAAAACACATTTTGCCTTCCCCTTGGGAGACCACCCAGCGCACATTTATGTATCTCTGGATATGGAGGCTGAACTCTCCAATTCACCAGGCTTACAGCACAAAGCGAGTTTCAAACAGCACCTGATTTGTCCTGGAATATTCTCTGTGTCTGGCAGAAACTCTGCCAACACGAAGGACTGATGGCCACGGCCATCGTTTGCATTGCAGCTCTCCCTGGAAAAGGAGGATTATTGTAGGGTAGGATCCTGCAGCAGCCACTGCAAACGAAATCCAAGGCCATAAATCTCTGCTGCAAAATGACTACATTCACAGTAAAATGAGTTTATGATTGAAGATCTGGCAGTCCAGAAAAGAGGTGGGAGCACTATTCGTCTGCCAGGTACTGTATTACAGTAAAACAGAGTTAGATTTGGACCTGACCACAAATATGAGCCAGTCAGGGGAAACAGGTACCAAAAAAAAAAACCCAAACCTGTCCATATTAGATGGCACTGACTGAACTGACATTGAGGAGGGGAGCGTGATGCTGGAAGAAGTGTCTTCGCACCAATCTAGAACCAAAACCTTGAGCACTTGGCGGTATCAAACCCCACTGTACCTCTCACAAGGCACTGACCACTTGATTCGCGCAGAGCTCCAAATTACACTATCCGTAAATACATTTCGTTTTCCTGAAATGTCAGTTGGGAAGCCTAATGTCATACAGCAGAGAGTCTTAAACCCTCAGATTTTCACCCCAAATATGGTTTCGTTCTGGGCATGGTTCTTGTGCACTCAGCAGAGTGAAGTCAGGGTGCCACCAGAGACCACAGAGGCACCACGACCCACCAAATCGTCATCCATAACCATGGAACACAGAACACGGTCAACGCCACTGCTGACGGCTACATTCTCTCCAGTTGATCAGAAACCAACCAAAACTTTATAGCAAATAACAAGAGCCAATAGGGGAACCATTTGCAGTGAGATTAGGGGCAGCTCATCCTTCTGGAGAAGGCAAGCATGGGTGGGATAAGAATTACTGAACACT